GGAGTTTTATTGGCATTAAGCCTTATGGATAATGGAGATTATTTCCTCTTCTGTTGGCGGCTTACAGTTGCAAACGTAATGTTCAATAAGCGAATGGCTATATGTTTGGAGCAACAGATGACATATCGTGGTTAACCTTGGTTTTAAAGAATTCTTTCTATCTTACGAGACGATCCTTAATACTCCTAACACCATTACTACATCATTTCACTGATCGATCATCGATTCCTCCGAATTATAGTTGCTTTATGAAGAAAGCGAAATAAGTTGCTTTCCTGTCGCATAAACGAGTCGCCGTCTTCATTCTCAAAGCCATCTCGCTTCAATAGAAATTTCTGTACCACCCTGCTGCTGTCGCTACAATTTTTTGAAGCACCTCGTAGCCAAGATCTCCCACTTACTTTGGCAGTTTTCAGTTAGTTGGACAATTGCCACTTGCGATACCCAACTAGTGCATTCCTCCCTAGCGTGGAAGTAGCTGACTTCAGAAGATATTCCTTTATTTTGGACCAGTATTCATTTGCTGTTCGAAAAAAGTCACTGATATTATATCCATTGAAGTTATTCGGTTCGATAATTCGGTTTGAAATGCATTCATTGTCACAATCTTTTAGTTTGAGATAGTTGACAGATGTTGGGGTACCCTCTTTTTCGTGAGTTATCAATTTTATGCGGATCTTGGCCCAAACCATAATATGCTTAGATCCATGAAGATTGCTTGTTTCAGCGCTGCGCTAGGAACGGCTACCTACTACGGAACTCTTCTAACGGCGACTGATATGATGTAGGCAATTTGGTTGGAGTGTTTGTAATTCGAATAGGCGACTAGATGTCATCTACAGTGCCAGAAGCAAGTATTAGTAAGAAAAAGTTTATGCTGTTCGGCATAATGAAGAATGTGTTCCTCATTGGCTCCGTTCTTCGATGTCGAAGTTATCGCAGCGGCATTATGACCTACACGCGCATTCCAGTCTCCTCCGATTATGACCCATGTTTCGGTAGATACTTTGTTAACAACAGAAATAGAACTTCCGTGAACTTATCTTTATCATGGTTATCTGCCGACAAAATTGGAGCATAAACACTGACCTACAGAACTTACTTTTAAATTAGATGTATGTCATACGGTCGCTTACCGATTTCCACTCAATCAAAGTAGAATGGACCTTTTCAGACATGATAATTGTGCCGAGTTAACGGAAACGCCACAATGATATAGCCAGCACCTCTGCTGAAAGCTAGGTTTATCATTCGACATACGAAGTGAGAAAGACGGTCCTCCAACAAGCAGGCGATATCCGCACGATATTTGAAAAGAGTGTTGACAATGATCGCTTGAAACATCCATCGTCCATAAGTCCATAAGTTTTAACGGTGCTACGACTAATATCTTGTTGCGCATACAATGAGCCGTTCGCTTTGACAGGTCTCAAGCAACTTCTCTGGTTTGCGAGTACATTTTATTGACAAAGCTTGAGATCACTTCACGCCAAAATTGTATACTTATTGTATTTGCCACGGTTCGACGCTTACTTTTCATGTGGATAAATCTGCCATTAAAAAAATCCAGGTGCTCCGCTGAGGGTTCACTTTCATTTGCATTCCCTAGGTTATTAAAATTCTATGAATTTATGATTAAGTAATGAAATTCTATGATTAAGCATGATTTTTATTATTTTATTCTCTTTATTTTATGATTATGAATTTATGAATGTTTCATTAATAAATGTTTCATTTTTCTTCGAAAAAATTATTTGATCGAAAAATTGCGGAATACTGAAATTGAAATCGTCGCAGATATTAAAATATCATATAAATGAATCGGTAAACAGTGAATAATAGTTGTACGAATGTTCTAAAAGAATTTTATGAGATGCCAGTCGTCTTCGATCTTTTACATAGCTTTAATTCCTTTCATTTTATGGAATTTGATGATACGAATTATTTTCGTAGTTTTTTTATTTAGAGAAACTTTGGCTTCAGCGCAATTCTGCTATAAAGATTGGTACTTCGATACTCCTCATCCAGTTCCAACGTTAGTTATAATAAAGATTACTATAAATTTAGCTAGTTAGTTATATTTACTATATATGAACAGTTTAAATTTCTTAAAATATTATATTTGTAGCAAACAAATCAAAAATTTGGTTGATATATTTATTTATTTTGAAACAATTGCCAAATAGAACAAATAAAACCATCTAATTAAATAAGTAAGTGGTTTCTGCACTACTTCTACTTCTAGTTAGTTCTACTGGCTGTTATTGAGATAGGACAATTTTGTCAGTTATTTGTGAATCCTCAGCAACACGCGAATTTCTTAATGGCAGATATCCATATGAAGAATAGGCGGCGAACCAGGATATTCGACAACTTAAGCAATAATCCATCCTAAATCATAATATTTTTATTTTATATATTTATATTGGAAGCAATAAATAAGATATGAAATAAAATAAAATTACAAAAAGGCAATTCTTTTGGGCTAAAACTAATACTAATACTAATATTAATACTAATAATACTAATATAATTTAATAAATTTAATACTATACAAATTTCATAAATAATTTATTTTTTAATTTTAAAACATCATTGTTATTTATTTCAATAAAAATATTCTTAATTTGTTTTATTAATGTATTTGTTTACAAAGAAGTCGACGAAATGCAACTGCACAACGTTATGTTAATCATCAAGGAAGTGGTTTAGGATTTGTGGTTAAACTAGTTCAATTGGCTAGCAATGCTAGAAATTTTTATGGGGAAATGTCTTATGGGGAAATAACAGAATTGCGCAGGTATTATTAGAATCACCAGGATTTTTTAATGTGCCTCATTACCTAAAGGAGGAACTGAATCCTTATATTAATGATTTAATAATAATAATCAAAATACATGAAGTTAATATAGTTTAATATAGTTTATCGTTTAGAAAATGTCCTAACGAGGATTTCTTCACATACTATGAATGTTGCTATGGAAGCGATGAATGTTGTCAGTACATTAAGTGGCCGATTGTGTAAGATTTCCTATTTTTCTGGTCGATCTAGTTTATAATAAATGATCAGCCATTATATAAGGGCACAAAGTACAGATAAAGGTAGGAGACAATTCAAAAAAGGGGAACAAGGTGGTCGAATAAGATGGGTTAAGGTCAAGCCACTTATTTATTTATTTAATCAAATAACAAGCAAAGGGGCTAAGGTTATGTGCTTGATTAAAAAGCAAGTAAAAGGCATTAATAATAGTAAAGTAAAGAATTAATACAAGAAGAATGTAAAATTATGGATAAACGAAAAACATTGGAAATCGTTGTAAGTTCTTTCTTGACAAAAACAAAACTGCGAAATTCAAATGCTCTTGAGGATGCAGTGGGGTAAACCACTTCCAACGTCTGGATTACCGTATTTGTTACGGTTAACGATTATAATAATCTGAAGGAGTAGCACTCAAAAATCAGTTAGGATTACCAGAACTGCAATCGTTTTAAACACTTATCAGAATCATAAAGATTACGAGAATTGCCTTTTTAACCGTTTTTATATAGAAATTAGCCATTTATTCGTTTCTCAAATTTTTGCATCCAACATTCAATAAAATCTTTCAAAATCCCTTCCAATATTTTAATTTTAAAAAGAATATTTCTCTGAAATCAATGAAATTGTTTGTTTACATTAAATTTTCAACTAAATTTTCAAAAATAGCCAAAATCGATTTTGAATTTTTAATAAATTTGCTTTTAAATTAGGGTATTTTTTTTATTCTGTCTGAGGCTTTGGGCTCGTGTATTTTTAATATTATGCAGGTTTAATTTATATGTCAAATGCCCGCGCTTCTTTTTTTAGGAATATAAACAGTGAATTTTTTTCTTTTTGCTTTTGGTCGTTACTACTCATAATTAGGCTTGGGCTTGAACTTAGGCTTGGGCTTTAGGTCTAATCTTAAAATTACAATGGAAGACGTGCTTTTTGATGTTATGAGTTTAAACTGCGTTATCGACGATGGAAACAGCTCGAAATATGTAGGCAGCTTTTTTTCGACAATAATATATATAAGAAAAAAATAATGCGAAAAAAGAATGGTCCATGAAGTTCATATCTGGAGATATCGACCTCAAAGACTCCTCAGCTAGCGACCGATCCTCGAGTCCTGCAGGTGAGTTCTTGGAAGAAATGGTGAAGGCTAACTGGAAAAGAACCGCACAGATTTAGCGCAAAGGCTTGCCGTTCCACATGATGTTTGGAATCACCTGTATCGATAAGAGAAAAAAAATTCAACAAATGGGTACCTCGCAGATTGACTGAACATCGAATAACATAAAAATTTTTTGCACTACTGGCATATTTTTGACAAAGAACGATTCTACAACAGGAAAAGATCGGTGAATTTGCTGCATAAAGATGAACCTCTTCAATTCGTGTGAAAACCCGACCCTCACTCGAAGAAGATTGCTCACTGCTTAGTGGTCTGCTACAGGATGCACTATAGCTTCTTAAAATCTAATGATTCTACATATAGTAAAAAAATGGAAACAACCCAGTAGAAATTACGACTCGCTGGTCAACAAAATACCTTACATGGCAGTGCCAGACCGCACATCGCAAAAATCACTGCGAAAATTTGGTGAAATGGTTATTAATCCGCCCTCAATTTGTCTTTTGTCTTCCCACAAGTAGAACTTCATAGAACTTCACTTCATTCATCCTCTCAAAGAGAAAATGGAAGAGTTTTGAAAATTAAAAAACGCCATTTTTTCAGCAGTTCGAGAAGCTGTTAAATTTGTGCGAGTGAAATAAATGCACGTTTTCACGTCGACAAAATGTGTGCATTGTAGTAATGCTTATTTTAGTTTACAATATCAGTTTTATAACTGTTTTCGGAGCAAATTACATAAAACCACGGGAATTTTTGACATCAGCCAAATGAAACACAAGCTTAAACGATAATCGATTAAACGATAATCATTTAAACGATAATAAATAATTTTGGTATATTTTTATGTATTTCAGGATATTTCTCATCCTTATTGCTTTCGGTCTTCTTGCTGGTTGTTGTTGCTTTTTTATTTATGCATTATTCCGACAAAATACCCGAAAAAAATCAGTAGATTCAGCTAAAAATATTTTCTATGTGGCGAAACCATCCCCAATTCGTAAGCAGAGTCATGAAAGTTTTTCTGCTGTAAGATATTTGCCAGAATTGGATTCACCACCGAAACGGAGCCCCTTTGAATTGATTACTGCCCCTCGATTACCTAAAGAATTGGATGCTAGCTCTTCTTATCGAAATAAAATCAGAGTGTGCAATGGACAATAACGAAATCTACGCTGAGCCTTTGAAATATAGCAGATCGAAATCCTGCAATAGGTGAATTTAAATGTAATGCATCGCAATTACATGGTTTTAATAACCAGACAAATATTCATTGAATTATTACGAAAATCAAGAAACTTTAAAAATATTCTGAAAAAAAAATATTTTGGTCTAATAAAATATTTTACAAATAACCGCCTTTTAAGAGTTAATTACCCCATATAGCGAAAATTCACCACTCATCATTTCTGGTCCGGCTGATGATTCCACTCTCTTGTTTCAATCTTTCTTGACGGAAACTCTTTGTTAGGAATGATATTCGAATAAGTAGAAAACGACCTGCAACATCACTCGGATTTTACTTTTGAGATTAACAAGTTTACACCATCAAGAAACAGGAAGCATAATGCCATGATGTTTGAATTCTGCCGAGAATTTAACCACTCTACCACACATCTAAATTCATTATTGCCCCGAGGAAAATTTGTATAAATAAAATACCAAAATCCCATTTAATTATTACAATTATTTTATAATCATTTTAATTATTTTCGAAATATTAGATAACTGTTTTTGAAATAAATATATAAAATATTAAAATTGCATTCAAATGTTTTTGTTTTTAAAATAAAAGCTTTTCGATTTGATGGCTGCAATTGAACATTCATGAAATAATATTTATTAAATTTACTTTCATTTTTATGCATACTTTTATTTTTGATTTCTCATCACTCACTTAAATTTTTTATTCAAATTCTTCAAATTTGATATTTTTACCAAAACAGAAAATAGACGGATGACTGTTACTTAGGTAACTGTTTCGAGCATCGTGGTTTGAACATTTAGAAAATCCATGGAGTGGCCTTGAACCAGCTACACTTCCATAATCCAATCAACTCCTTGGCAAAAAATTTATCGTGCTAGCAACCAATGCACCAAGCCTAAGGACAAACAGCCCTCTTCTTTTATTTTTGACAGGGAATCAACACATGTATTCTATAAATTTTTAAAAACCTTTAAAAATAAATATAAATTTTCTCAATCAACCAATACTTAATATAAGAAAAACCTCGAACACTCAAAATTTTATGCAAAAAAATCGAAATTCATATGAATTTATTCCATTTTTAACATAAATTATTATAATAATGGTAACATTAATGATAATAATAAGCAAAAAATAATATAAAATTTTCAAAATTATGTCAAAAATTAAAAATTAAAATTAAAATAAAGTATAATAGTGTAATAGTGCGAGGCAATTGCAAATAAAAACAAGAAAAAGAAAATTCAAAATTTAAAAAATACTGACAAAATGATCTCAAATAAGTAACTGAAAAATCATACTGAAATTCACATCGAACGACAAAAAGGCAAATTTGGATAAATTTACTTTGACAAATTTTTTTGCAGAGGAAAATTATTTATTTAATCATTTCATTTTTCACACAAAATGTGATAAGAAAAAAGAATAACAGCCAGCCATATATGAATAGTGAAAAATATATATTTATCATAAAAGTTATTAATCATAAATTAGAAAAAATGATTTCGAACGAAACATGACTTACATAATCTCAAAAAAGTACAAATATTATTAATTTATTTACCCGACAAAATCATTGTTGATGAAAATGCAAAAAAAAGATTTGAAATGATAAATTATCGATAACCATTATCATAAAATCATCCATAAATGATAATAACAAATGCAAATGGGAGCACCGGGTGGAATAGAAAAAAAGAAAAATGCCAAGTGATTCGAAGAAATTTTAAACCGAGATGATCTTCAATTGCTTCATCTATAAACTTGTAACTGTGAGTAAATATCAATATTCAGAAATATAATTTAATTGTAATTGATAATTATAATTTAAAAGGATATAAAAAGATTTGATGCACCCAGCGTAACGATTTATTTATTTATTTATTTAGCGTTTCAACTGCAAATCCGATCCTTTAATTTAATTTAATTAAAATTAAAATTTAATTAAATATCGCATTACTAGAAAATCATAATGAATTATAAAATTAAAAAATCGTTAACATAGAACTCAACACGGAAGGCGAATAACACAGAATTTTTGAAAAAAGATTGAAAGAAAACAAAAAAAACAAATAGGAAGAAAGAAACATAAAGCAGGAAAAAACATGAAAATAGAAGGACAAGCAGGACAAAATGATAAATGATAAAATAAAAATCGAATGGGCTAAAACAGATGAGGAAAAAATCCAAGCGGCCCGGATGGCTAAGAATTCTCGACAACTAGAAATACAAGACAATCCCTTTCTAGAATTTTTCCGAAAATTTTCTAATAATTCCAACAATTTATTAAAAAAAGTAAATTCAAACCTCATTTAAGAATAAAATATAAATAAATTACTTAGGAAATTTTTAAAAAATTTTGAAATTTCTCTCTTCCGCAACTAATAAACTGTTAAAACCTTAAAATCAAAAATTAAATTTCTTGCATCGAATAAGTTGCAAGAATAAATTCGTATCAATCATCATAAATTTACTGAATTAAGCCACGACTTTATTTTTAAGAGGAAGAAATACTTGTTAATACCTTAAAAAACTGAAAAGGTCTTATTCGAAAGACCATATTCAATACTGGCCATTGTCAATTTTTTATGTCAGTAATAATGACTTTGGTAATACTATTTCATAAGTCTAATCTACAACTTATAAAAACTATCCTGTTTTGCTATTCTAGCTCAGGCTAATTGCATCTATGAAATCTAAATTAATAAATATAAATTCGCAAAAAATGAAACAGCAGGAGATCACTCGCTCATTTATCGAGATTTATCATTCAGTTATAGAGCCTTCTTAAATTATCAATATCTTAATATCTTAAGAAGATTTTAGGACATTCACTGAGCTGAAACAACTCATTTGATGATAATTCCTAGTGTTACTCATGAATATGTCATAATAGAAAATATTACAATTGTAATTTCGAAAAGCTAAAACTAGATTCTTTTAACTAGGTTCTAGCTGTTAAAAACTAAGCTGAATCCTTCTCGGTAAATTCTCTACAAGATTCAACGGGAAATATCCAATGATCTAATCAATAATAAGCTTAAATTCGTTCGTTCAGAGAGTATATCATGTTATTAGGTACGACTTTTTGCTCAAGGAAATTTCCTCAATTAAAAAAAAACATTGTCGGCTGGAAGAAAATAATCATAGTTTCAGATATAAAATTTTGCATGAGTGCCTCTTATACTATAGATTATGAGAATTATAAGTACAATCGTCGTCGCCACACAAACACATACACATAAGGAGAATGTACTTAAGAAATAATAATTGAATGGTAGTGGCACAACAGATTACCTGAACATGGATTATTGCTGAAAAATTTTAGACTGGCATTCAAAACACGATATATACGCCGTACAAATAATAATATGAAGATGAAAAATACAAATATATAAGAAAATACAGAAAACACATCAATATAATCATCATTATACATTATAAAATTTATAATAAAAAAAAAAATACCCAATAATTTATCTCAACTCCATTTATGCTGTTAGGAATTTTAGTTAAGTGATTTGGTGAAAAAAATATGAAAAAAAAAATATTTGTGGGTGGCTAGCATCAACATGATTTTTTAGTTTCACTCGTATCGAGAACTGAACCTTGCACCTTAGCACTTGTTTTTTCTGGGAATCTAATTGAATTTTCTGAATAAATTACTGAAAAACACTTTTGAAAAAGCATTTCCATTTTGAAAAAATCGAAATGCCAAAAACACAAATTTTAAATGAAACCAATAAAGAAAGTTTGAAATCTATGCCATAAAATATATTTTATAGCATTTGATTTAATTGATATTTTCAGTTTTCCAGTTTAGAAAATATTCATTGCAATACAACGAATTAAAAAACTAAAAAAAATAATTTTAAAAAGAAGAAAAGAAATAATTCGGAAAAATTTTTATAGCATTGGAGGTTTAAGAAATATGTAGAAAATAAATATCTACTCGTAGCCGAAATCAATTTTGTTTTTGTTTTTGATGATGAAATCTTCTGAAGATCACTTTTAAACCAAGATCATTTCCACTTCTTCAGAACTAGAAACAACTATAAATCATGATTTAATAGATCCAGAGAATGAAAAAAGAAAAAGAAATAGAGTTTGGGAGCAAGGAGCACCAGAGGAATCTGGATACCCATTATAATTTTTAACTCTCAGCTCCCAATGGTGTGTATGGCACCAATTTCTCTCCTTATCCCAATCTCATCAATCCTTATCCCAAAGTATTTATTCAAAACAGATTGATAAGAAAATGTAAAAAAAGAACTAACCACAAAAATCTACACTTTAGGAAAAGAATGGGGTATTTGGGTATTTTGATGATGTATTGTTGGATATATTGCGGGAAATGGTTCACCACTAACACTTGCATATAAAGCAGCAGTCTCGAACGCTTGCTGTGCAGCACTTAATTGAGCCGCAGCGACATTGAAGCCTCGCGCAATACCACCGCTAGTTGCTCCATTCGTTACACTTCCTGGTGGCGATGTTGGCGTTAACGATGCATATGGCAATGCATTGAAAACTAAAATAATTTTCAATAAAAAAATTCAATCAAATTAATGAAATCAAATCAAAGAAACTTTTAGAAATGGAAATTAATAGAAATTTAATATTAATCCAAAAGTGACAAAGAAATTTTTACAAAAATTTCTCCAAAACTTTCTTTTATGGTCAATGGGAAACTCTCAAGAAATCCACAAACTTCCATAGGCCAGAATAATATAATACAATGAACTAAGACAATAAACTGAATGTAAAAGATAGTTGTTTACGACAGTTTATTTGAAATAAAAGTGATTAAAGCACATTTACTAATTTCATTTTGCGTTATTTCAACTTGCACATGCAAATGTTAAAATAAAAATGCATTTGCTCGAAAAACATTCCTAATATGATAATACAGTTTTATCATACTTCACCACATAAAAAAATTTTTCCGCAAAAAATTTAAGCGACAAAAATATATGAATATATAAAATATATGAACAATATAGCAGTACTTCTTTTAACATCTCACACCCATACTTTCAACTGGATTCCATTAGTTATAAGGATGGGGCATTTCTAAACAATTTATATCCGTGCCTTATCAAACTATCATTATTATCGCCATTCTGGAACGAAGCTGTAGAAAAATAAGATAAAATTTGCATAATTGCCAATGATTTGATATAACGACGGTGAGCATTTTTTCACTTTTTTTCCCATTTTGATCTGGTTTCATTTTCACAGATTCATCAAGTTTTTTTTTCTTAAATTTTTTAGCAGAATAAAGGATTTATGAAAATACCCTCCTCACTTTAACCGTACACTATATTCTTCTTAATAATTTACATCGTTCACCATCTTCCGCTTTTCTCACTCACTAATTTATCATGCTACCAATTTTATATTTTCATAAATCCTTTATTCTACTAAAAAATTTTAAAAAAAACTTGATGAATCTGCGAAAATGAAACCAGATCAAAATTTATAATTTAAGTAAAACTATGCAAAAAAAGAAAACTTAGAAAGCCATATAAAACATTTAAATAAAAGATATTTCTATCAAATATTTTTAAAAAACATGCAAAAATGCTTATCGATTTAGAAAAAATTAAACTGAAAATGTATTATTTAAAATGTATTTTATTTCCAATTTTATAGAATGAAAAAAAAAAACTAAGAAGCTAAGATTTAAACGACAAAAGCATTAATCAAAACATCCAATTAACGAAATCTAACTGCCTAGAAATCTTAGTGCACCTTGACTGAGGTCTTGAAGTGATACTTGAGTTCGAGTAGCATCCGCCAACAGACTCAACTTTTGTGCATCAATAATATATGGATTGCTTGCTGCACTCACCAAAGAAGCGGTTGTATTTGGTAATATTGCTGTATAGAATAATTCATCATTAAAATGCCATTTTCGAGATTTAGAAAAAAAAGAAACAAAAGGATAAAATAATTAAAATGTAAATTAATGAAACTAAACACGATATACATATAACGAAGATATTTCTGCAACTAATCTTTATGCAAATTCTAAACTATAAGATGACGAATTACTGCTTTAGGATAATTTCAGAGCGAAGCCGCTATCTGATAGAGATTTCTGGAATCTTCTTAAAGCCACTAAGGATATTAACATTGGACAATAAATAATTTGGGAGAAAACCATTGGATATTTATATTAATAGAGTTTACATTAAAAATTAATTACATTAAAAATTAGAAATATCCGAACAACCCAAGATGCCACTATGATAATATCCCTGAAGAAATACAAATGCCTAAAGACTTGAACTTACTAAATAAGAATCACAAATGCTAAATAAGAATCACAATCGCAAGAAAAATATAAAAAGAAAATATCCACTGAACTCTTGAAATTATAAATATTAAAAATATCCACTGAATATCTGCATAATATTAAAGTAAACCGCAATCAGAATTTAACAAAGTAAATTTAGCTGTCGAAAAATTGTAACATTTCATGTAGCCTTGCGTTACACTGCTAAACTATAAACTCTCTAAGCCTCCATTTAGGACACCAAATTTGAACCAAATCCTAAACCAAATATCTAATAAATCGAATGAACTTTAAAAAATTTAACATAAAAATTATGGTGAATAAAAATTATAGAAAAAAATGAACCCTGTTAGCTGGATGACAGCAAATAATCAAAAATTATTAGAAAAAACATGCTTATAAATTTTTATTATGATCATAAACGCAACATTTTTCTGGCAATCTGGTAGCAGTTGTTCGTTTTTATTTTTTTTTTCAATGATTTTCAAAAGGATTTTGAATCTTGAAGTCTTGAAATTCATTAAAATTCTATAAATTTAGGGTAGTTTAAAACGGAAAATTGCTCTATATATAATACTTCAGGAAAATGGAAAATGTTGCATAATATGATAATTTTTACTAAATTTCGGTGCAAAAAAAAATACAAAAAATTGTTAAAAATAAATAATAGTAATGAAATTTTAAAAAAATATACCACCAGGATAGAGCATATTCGCACCATAAGTACCAAGTCGAGGAAATGCATAAGCTGCAACAAAATAACTTTATTCGATACTTTTTGAAACTTTATGAAGATGAGAAAAAGAAAAATATTATAGCTAATCTCTCCCTTAATCCAGCTCATTCCGAAATCAACTGAGAAATGAGGAAAAAACTACAAAGTAATATAATACTATATTATTATATATTAAGAATATTAGGAATATATTAGGAATGGATCGAAATATTTAACCTTACCCAGTAACTGTTCTGCACCCATTCCGTATAAACTACGTATTTGCGCGGCTCTATTTTTATTCTGTTGTACAGGTAACATGACCTGAAAATAAGGATAAAATGAGAACGGGACTAAAAAAAGTGACGATTTGATCTCATAAAAACCGAATGAATACAGGAACTTAGCTATTTCTACTTCCTAGTAACGAAAGGATGACATTTTAATCAACCAGTTAAATCAACCAAATTAGAAATGATGAATAAAATTAAAGAAAAAGATTTTAAACGGAACAAAATTCACTTCTTTCGGTTGTGCTTTTTTACATTCCACCATTTTACCATTAATTTCATGAAAATGAATTTCGCACACTTTATCACTAACATCATCGTTATCGAATGTGACAAATCCGAAACCTAAAAAGTACATCTGGACTGAGCATACAGTACTATATATACAGATGTAAAAGCAATACAGGATTCACCATAAGAAGTGGAATAAAGTCATCACAAATAAACAATTTTCTCGGTAAATCTTTGAAAAAATAGCAAAATTTTTTGAAAACTTAGCATATATTAGTAGTGCAATTAAATTTATCTTTATTAGCAACAAATTTAGATTGTTTCACTTTAAATAAAAATAAAAATACCTCGATGACGATTTGTATTCTTATCAAACATTAACATCGCATCTTCTACCTGAGATTAAGAAACTTTATTTAAACTTTATATTAAATTTTAAATTTCTATATTAAATAATAAATGAATATAAATAAGCTAACCAAGTGGATAGTACCAATCATCAATGTGGTGAAAGTGAGGGCCCCTCTGTAGATAAATGCCATTAAAAAATCAGGCTACCCTTATGTTTCTATTGCCAAGTGGTTTGGCAAAATTAACCTAACCGGAAATGGCTTATTTAATTTTGATATATGAAATTTGATATATATAAAACTTCGATGTTATTAAACTTTGATATTAATGGATTTGATATTAATGGATGTTGAAAATAACCTTTCCGAATTGCTCAAAATATTTACGCATATCCTGTACCGTTGATCCTGCTGATAAACCACCAATAAATACTTTTTTCGTTTTGATGATCATCTGTAAAAACACAAAAATGAATAGATAAAATGGATCTTAAATCGTTTTTCACATTCAAGATAATTAAAAATCGTATAAAGACGTCATAATTTATAATCAAATTGGAATGCTCCAAATAAATTCCAAGGGAATGGAATTCCAATAAATAGAATGGCTCAGTGGGTTATTGTTCAATTCGAGAGCCAATACTGGGATTCACTTTCCAGCAGGAGTAAACCCGTACAAAAATCCAAGTGATGCTGGTGACTCACCTGTATTTCTATCGCCATGGGACTCCCTGGCATATTGCCCAGTGTGATAAGCCAGTGGAGCGAGTTTAACCAGTAATGGTGAGGACTCTCAAAAAAAAGAAAATCCCAATGGAAAGGAGAATAGCGGAGTGGCCATCGCTTACACTATCACATCAAGCATTTTCGCTCGGCTTCTTTTTCTTGCAGGACCAAGTCTGCCATCAAAAAAACAGAGTGGATTTGGGAACTAACCTGTAATTCTATCACCAAGTGATTTCTTCGCAGAAATTTCTTAATGTAATAACAGTGGAAAGATTGAGCACTAACCACATATTTATTCAATTAAATTAAACATTAAACACTTTTTTTCGACATTAAACACTTAGCACATTTTCGAAAGTTGAAACAACTCCGTTATTTTATTTTTAATTTTTAATCATTTTCTAGTAAACTATATTTTGAAATTTAAAAAACATTAATTTGGAACAAAAAATTCAACAAAGAAATGCAACTTGATGGAAAAATCCACCATTAGTTTCACCAAATTTTACTTAAAACACTACTAAATAAATTTAAATAAATTTTATAAAAGATAAGATTTTTAAACTTTTAAAAAACTAAGAATAAATTAAATCCAAAACAAGAGTTATCGGCAAAAAAAAGCAAAGCTAAAGCAAAGAATAAAAGGAGCTTTTAAACAATACGCATTTTAAAATAAGAAATGCATGGATGTGCTTCAAGCACAGTCAATCAATCAAAATTTTCTTACATCTTAAAAATCTCTTAAAACTATTTTGGATGAGAAAAGATTAAAAAAGGAAAAGAAAATCTTAAAGATGGATTTAACTAAAGATTTACGAATAGAAGAGAGAAAAAAGAAGAAACCAACCACTCGAAAAATTTTATAAATTTTATAAAACAAGAGAAATACCACTCATTCATCTTAAGTATTCCTTCAGAAGAAGTAAACTACTTCAATATTTTATTTTCCACACTTTTACTTACTTTTATTTTCCATACTTTACTTTTATTCCTAAAAAACCTGTGTGAATATATCATAGATAATTTAAAATTATTAAATTCTGCAAAATTATTTTAATAAATTCTAAACATGATTCTTAAAATCACAAATAAATTAAAGATATTAAAATGAAAAATTTAAGCATTTAAAAAAGAACTGGAAGTAATAAACCAATTAAAGCAAAAGTAACAGATTTATGAATTATGCAAATAAATAAAAATAAAATTATAAGAACCACTTTTCATTGGAATCTTTATAATCTATTTGAAAATTTAACATTAATCTATTCCCGTCCATCTATATCAAAGTCACTAGGAGTCATAACTTTGTCTCCGCATATTACCTTACTTATCAAATTAATTGAATTTATCCAGTATTACCAAATGATATATTGCTTAAATAAATATACATATATATAATTCTATCATTTCATCGTCCTATCTCCCTTCCTGACCTTCCCGACAGCTCTTGTTAAATTCCATGTGATTGCTGGTGAAGAACCATTTGTACTCCATCCTCAAATGACTCATATGAGAAAAAAGTAAACTGAACTAAATTAAAGATAATTTCTAAGATCCAGATCTAAATAAAACAGAAGTGGGGAGGGGTTAAACAAACCACGAAAAAATTTATAAAAATTCAGTAAAACTGAAAATCTAAATATTTCATCGAAACAAAATGAAATTTTTTTTTCAAAATAAAATCCTTCTTCTTTAAAATTCTTTAAAATCCTTTAAAATAATAAAAAATTTAATAAAATTAAAATAATACAAAAATACAGTATAATCTCCTGAGTATATAAACTGAGAAGAGTTGTTACTTAGATTATTACCTTTTCAATCACCAAAGTTTGTCCATTACCATTTTACTAACAACAGGCAATATAAAAGGAAATGGTGAATGCCAACCATAAACTTGAATTTAACTTGAAAGTAATTTTTCTCGAAATATTTCTTTTTTTGAGTACAAGCAATAATAATTCACAATGCTCAATGAATGGAAAGAAAATTACCTTTGGTTGCTGTTTCTTTGGAAATGCCACTTTTGGATCGATCTAAATTTTAGAAAATAATTAATAGTGATTTTCGTATTAATAGCTAACAAAAATTTTCAAAAATATTTAATTGAAAAATATTTAATTATTTAATCGAAGAAAAACTTGAAAATTTTCTTAAAAACATCCCATGGATTCTTCCTATTATCCATTAAAATCCAGCAATTTCCTTTATTTACAACAGATTTTCATGATAAAATTGAATCAAGACAAATTTTTCTTTCAAAATAAGATTTCATAAAAAAGAAGGACGAGAAGACATTTATTGTTTATATAATAACTACTATAAATGGACAATGGAATTATTGAGAAAATAAATTTTCAAAAAATAAGAAAAAAATTTCGGGAAAATTCGTACATTTAACGAACGTGAAAATACAATTTAGTAAAATTAAATGATCTATAATCCATTGTCGTCAATTTTTTTTGTATTATATATTTTTCAAATATATCTTAAATATTCAAGCAAATTGCACCATCTACAGGAATATTTGCTCGGTATATGATTTAGACCTTCCCAATACTAAACGGGATATTCTTCAGAAAATCATATATAATAATAAAGAGAAGATCCTGTAGGATTTCTCTATCTAAACAAGTACTGATCAATGAACTAGATATCATAGAAGTGGACAAGAACCAGAAATCAGTAGTGAGGATAGATATAGTAGCACCAAATGACAGGAATATCAGAGAGATGGAACGTGAGAAGCCAGAGAAATACCAGAAGCTGAAAGAGGAAATAAAGATTTGCAGTGAAGGCCAAAGCCCCAGTGATAATAGGAGCACTGCGACCCCACACTAGAAAACGAGTTTCAATAAATCCCAAGAACAATTCAGAAGAATGCACTGCTAGGAACAGCTAAGATGCTAGGCCTCAATCTCCCAGACCTGTGACAGAGGATCCAGGATTAAAGATGATCCTTACCACACACAGGAAGTGAGAAAGATTTTAATACATATTTAAATATATCTCTCTGATATATCAGAATAGATAAAATTAAAAAACTGTAAAAATAACCCTTTTTCCATCGAGTTCATGTTGTTCATGTGATAAAACTTTATCAACACTTGATGGATCAGCAAATGTTATAAAACCAAATCCACTGAAAATGATAAATAATGATAAATAATTGGACATATTAGTTAACTTAAATTTCATTTCCAATTTATTTTCTAAAACTCAAGTTGTGTTTTAAAAATTCACTAGAGTTTCAAAGTATAACTATAAACTTAGAATTTGCTTCAATGGTTCGAATTTATATAGTCCAAATGCATGCCAGGCAGAAAAGAAAAGTTTGTTATAGATTTGTTTACTTTATTTTTCAATACAAAAATATAAGCAAAGAAAATATGGAAAAAATTTAAAATAAAATAAAATAAGCTCATAGCTTAGATTTTACTTGATAATATTTCAAAAAAAGAAATAAATAAAAATGAATCTATTCAACTTCAAGAATCTGAAAATTTCTTCAAATTTTCTCATTGCATCTAGAAATTTTTTAAAACATTTTTTCTTATAAAAGAAATGATGAATTTCGAAAACTTTTAAATAACACTGATTTACAAATGATAAAAAAAATTTAAAAATGAGAATAAATATTCGATGAAAACTTTTAAAATAAGTTTATTAATTTTTAATAAAGTTTATTAATTTTAATTTATTTTAATTTATAAGTTTATTAATTTAATAAGAATTTAAAATAGGGATAAACTGAAAATCACAAAAAATAAATAAATATAAAATATAAAAATATAATAATGTAGATAAAACAATGTGAAACTTATATTAATTAAAATAACTGTTTTTAATTATTGAAGCTCTTTTATTATAAACATGGTTTAATTTTATATTTTAATTTCTATATTATTTAAATTAAAAACTTTGAAAAAATTCAATTTTTTGTTCAGCTTATCATCATATAGCTTACCATCATATAGAATTTTTTATGAGGATAATTCGATTAGTGGTCTCATTTTCAAATTTTATTATGCAAAAATCTCGATCAAAATCTAATATTTCATTAAATTTATCTAATTTATTAATGTTATATAAGGACTTCATCCGAATAAAATAAATAAAAATAAAGAAGCAATAGAAAAGAGTATTGACCGAGCTCGTTTTGAAACCGGATCCCTCATCACCATACATTCATTTATTTCACCGAATTGGCTAAAATAATCGCGTAGTCCTTCTGCAAAAACAAAAAAAGTTCGAATTTCGAAGAATTACTTTTATACACTTTTTCTCCTATGACATATAATCTTCCGGTTATTATTTAAAAAATGCCGAAAGTGTTCAAAGTTGTCGTAGTAGAAAAATAAATCAGAGCAAATTCTGTGATAATTAAAAATTGTTTAGATGATATTTAGTGATATGATTTTTAATCAACTAATTCAATTTGTTCAACTTATCATCATATAGAATATCATATTAGAAGTGGAAAATATAAATAATTAAGCGATGATGACAGGTGCTTTTGGTGCATTCAACTTTTCGCTAACAATTTAAAAGCAATTTTTTGAAGGCTTTTTAATAAAATTTTTCAACTACGATGCAGCTGTTTAAAATATTGGATTCGAAACAGCAATCTCTGAATATCTGAGGAATGAATGAAATCGGATGATCGGATGAAACGAGATAGATGGAGGGATGGATAGAGGGATAAATAGATGGATAAATTACGTTATTATTTATTTATTTATTACATGAAATTTAGCATTTGTCTAACAAGCTAGGAGAATTTTTAAGCTAATCTTTAAAATACGATTGTTAAAATATTAGATTTTCTCTTATTTTATTTTTTACGAACTATTCCGCAAAATTTCTTGAAAAACATTCAAAATTTCCATGTTTTCCATAGGAAAAAAGGGCTTTTTTTCGGGAAATGAAATTTTTAAATTTAATCTAATTTCAAAATAAGCTAATTTAAAAAAAATAAATTTAATTTCGAAAAATACTCCAATAAAAGCGATTAAAGTCAAGGTTCCCAGTCCTGCTTCCTACACCTGACAATGAGAATTCCGTGGTTATGACGGCGATCCACTTGTACTTTTATCATATAATTTTTCCAAACAAATATCTCATCATAATTTTCTCATTATTCTTAGATTATGCTAACAGCAAAAGGAACCATCCTAATTAGAAACTAGAAATGGTGAAAAACTAATCCACTTACTTAATTCTTAAAAGTTAAAGTGAATTTAAAGTTAAATTTCATCAAGATTTTCAAATCCAAATTTTCAAAATAAAAATTTTCAAAATACCAGCAGTTGTTTGCCAACTGAGACCACCAATAAACATTTTTCTGAAAAAAAATGAAATTAAACATGAAATCATTTAAAAACAACAAATAAAATCAAAGTTACAAGAAACTAAAAAAAAATCATTATTTCAACTGAATTAATGGTTAAAAAACAATACAAAGAATTCCACAAATATCTTTATGCCTATTTTTTCGAATGTTAAGGAAAAAAATTTGTCTTAAGGAATCCTTTGTGGTGATCATCATCTTATCAATATTTTTATAGTGATTATTAATATCATTACAGAAATGCAAAAAAAAGCAAAAGAATATTAGACTTTCTGATTTCTTAGAAATTATAGACAATAAATAATAAATTTCTAATTTTGGATTAAATTCCTGAGAAAATTATAACAAAAAAATTTACATTTCCAAAAAAACTTCCAAACGACAATATGAAGAAAATTTTTTAAAAAATCACTGCCTATCACAGTATTAAATTTCATTATCAATGATGAATATTTTTACTTTAACTTTAAACAAAAAATAAGGAATAACCCTGGATCATTGGTTCCAATACTTGAAACATCATCATCTGAACCTGGACTCAACTGCACATTATCATTTTCAATATTGTTTTCCGAATTTGTTGCTTCCATAATTTAATAAATGGTAAAAATAGGAAAATAAGGAGTAGTAGTATTAATATATAGTTTATTTGAAGAAACAAAGAGAAAAAAATAAGCAGAAAATAGCTGAGGGCAGCCGACTTCGGCTAAATATTTCTAAATAACTAAATTAAGGAGGACAATCAACAAGGATATTCGTTTAAATGAATGAATTCGGGACTCAAAATCTATTATAGTCTCTATGGGGAGGGGGAATAAGGGGAAAATTAGCCAAGAATATAATATAGGAAAAATACTAAGGAAATGAGCTCTAGAAGCTCGAGTGCATAAATTTAAGGATGATAATAAAGAAGTAGTAATGATTGGCGCTTAATGCAAAAATGGCGACGACGCACAAGCGACGACGACAACGTCTTAATCCCTGAAATCAATGAAAATTTTTCAAAAAATATTTTAAAAATTATATAAATAATGAAAACAGTACTTCAAAAACTGAGAAAAACAGCAAAGTATGAAGTAAAAAACAATAATAAAAAGCTCGGACTCTCGCAGCAGGAGAGTAAACTTATTATTTGGAAATTCGAGTGGTGCTCACAACTCATTTTTTCGTCCGTCCAACTAACTGACTCTCTCCAGCAAAAACTTTCCATCGTGTTAGCAGCTTGCGGAGCAAACCTAGCTTTTTATCCTAACGCACCCTTAAGCATTCGCCTAATTATCTTTTTGCTTCGTTCGCTTACTCTTTAAAATTACAAATGACTGAGGCAAAAAGAGATTCATATTCTTACACATTATTATTAATATATATTCTAATCGTCGATGAAGAGCATATAACTGAAGAAATAATTTGTCACAAATTTTAATCGATGTGCAAAATATCGACAAAAAAAGGAAAAATATTGACAAAATCTTTTATAAAATTTCTCACATCGTAAATAATAAATCAAATAAATTCAATGCTTTTTTCAAAAATTTTCTTTCGTTTTCACAATGAAAAATTAAATTTTCATTTTTCTGCAACAAAAAATTTAAAAAATTGCAAAATTCCGATATAATATAAAAATATAATCAAATAAAATAAAAAACTTCATAATTCCATTGTCGATACAAAAAACAAATGGAAAAATAACTATTATTTATTAGTGCCTATACTAATTAACAATTAAATAATTAAAAACAATTTTTAGAGGAAGCGACAGCCGAGTGGGATGGTCGTTTCAATGTCGAGGCCACAGGTTTCATTTCCTAACTCTTACCAGCAGCAAGTCCGTCATAAAAAGTTAAACCTTAAATCAACTATATTTCCACTGGAACTCTGATGAAACTAAAAAAATCAGCTAAACCAAAGTAAACAAATTTCCATGAAAAATAATTAATGTCACTGAAAATTGCAATAATTTCTCAGAAAAAGACAAAAAACTTGCAAGAAAAATTGATGAAATAATAGAATAAAATTCTTTTTTCCAATAAATTAAATAAATTACGTAATTTTAAATAATTTATAATTTAGTAAAATAAATAATAATTTGCAATCATAACGTTAAAATTTTTATAAATGCAAAGTGCTTTTAAATTCCTTTCCAAGATCAGTTAATCGATCGATCGATCGATCGATCGGTAAATAAAAATTATCCACTCGGCTATTCTGCCCCCCGAATAATTTTGTTTTTCAAATTTTTTCAAATTGATGAGTAAATTTTCTAAAAAAATGGCGCATAATGCTAAGATTTTTCTTTAAGCCATTAATAAAATGAAAAAAGTCTAATCAGTTTTAACCAAAATAAAACCATCACTTCGAAAAAAATGATAAAAAATTTTGGAAAAAATATAATAAAAAACGGCAAAAATTAAAGAAATAGGAGATTTGTCAGACGACAATTACTATAAGTAAATTCAGCTGACAAATAGTTATATTATCTAAAAAACTTGAAAAACTGGAAAAAATCTGAGAGTGAGGAATATCAAAAGCAAGAAAATTTCCTAGAAAAATTCTTCTTTTTATGCAATTAATAATCAGAACTTATCAGAACTTATCAGAATTAACTATCAGATCGTGTTTTTTTTTTAAAAAACTACAAATGAAACCAATTAATTAGCAGAAAAAAAAAATAATAATCGAAATTTTGCATTTTAACTTCAATTGAAATCTAATAAATAAATGAATTTCACCGCTAAATTTAACCATTTTTATTTTCTTTCAAAATAATAAGTTTTTCAAAACATTTTTGTAAATTAGTTTACAATAAAATAATTATTATTTAAATAAATTAATACTTTCTAACCGCTCTCACCACGGCTCCGCTGGGCTTCCAAAGGCTTCCAAGCTGTTCGATCCGACGCCATCGTTGACAGTAATAAAAACTATTCTTTTTTTACATCGTCTAAATCGATATATTGCCGATCCTCCTATGCGCTCAAAGCCTTTCCTGATTCAATCAGTCCAGTTCTTGCCTGGCCCTCCCCACTTTTGACGCCATTCACCACAGGGCTTAACAAGTAATGAAATATGTGTCAAATCCTATGGTTGGCGACGAAAAACGTGCCCTAACTAGCTGAAGCATTGCTATTTGATGGCCGTGTTAATGTAGTTATTTGTGCGAAGGCAAATGCAATCATATGAGATTTTATCCGCTTTGCGAACTCGTAGAATGATCTTAGACATGAATGGTCAAAGATAAGATAATGCTCCTTTATATCCTCCAATCTTATAGGCCATATCTCGCAAGACCGAGCGAATATTCGTCCTTATGGTGATTTCGCGACTGCTCCATAAAGGTTTCATCAGCTGGAAGAACACATGTCAAGCTACCACTATCCGAGTTTTAATTTCATATTTTGCCTGGTCATTCGGGATTAGAGTGGATCCAAGATATTTAAAGTTTGGCACTTCGGCAAAGAATTGATAGAAAATAGGTATTTTATGGGTATCAGCTTCTTATATAAGACGAAAAGATTTTCGTTTTATTTACAGTGAATCTGAGCATAATTCTAGCTGAGTTGTTAACACATAGTTTAGCATTATTTTTATTTCATTATAGCTGTAAGCAAAAAAGACTATATCATCATCGTATTCAAGGTCTATGATGCTATGCTCTGGGTTCAGTGCCAAAAAGCGATGCCCATTATATATCGCATAGTTGAATATTGTAAGGGAAAGGAAGCAGCGTTGACGAACACAACTTTTTATTTCGAAAGAGATCACTCAGTTCCACATATATACTACAGATTTGCCAACGTATACTAATAAAATACCTTTATGAGCCACATGATCTCTGGTACATTCCATTCACTTTCCAGAGCGAAGCTCAATTGAATCAAC